TCTCTATCTTACTCTATTCATATTTATCTAAATTTATTCATTATGTATATATTTATATTTCCATATATCTGTATTCATTATCTATGTATATATCTGTCTAAATTTATTCATTATCTATTTATCTAAATTTATTCATTATCTATATATTTTTGGTGATTTTCCAAGCGTAGCTTAGATGTGGCACAAAGCCGAAAGTAGGAGGCACCCAGTGAAGATCGAACTCATTACTCAATTGTAATTGTTCTAGCGAGACAAGCTTGCTAACCATTACACCTATGTATATATTTACATATCTGTCTAAATTTATTCATTATCTATATATTTATCTATCATACTATATATCTATCTAAATGTATTCATTATCTTTATATATTTATTATTTTAATTGTTTCTATAGTGGACATTTCATATTTGGAATAGGTGTCCCATCTCTATATATTAAATACTTTTTATTATGTCTATCGGCTTGCGCATTCGAGAAATCTCAGTAAAGATTTGTCTGCTATAATAACGTTTAAAGTAATAAAAATGTTGGATTAAAATTAAATCCATTAATACTTTTATATCTAAGTGTATTCATTATTTATTATTATTGTTGTACTGTGGCAACATGAAAACGGGGGTGGGTGGGGGGACAGGCTCACTCATTCATTGATTGTCTGTACAATGACACAGGACTACATTCTGTTGATGAACTCAAAACTAAAATCTAAGATTGAGAATGTTGGAGAGAAACTGACTACTCAGCTCAGACTAACTCATTATCTGTCTATCTATCTATCTGTGTCTGTCCATCTTTCGCGCTATCTATCTAAATTTATTCATTATCTATATATCTATCTGAATTTATTAATTATAATTTTATTATTACATCTCTTTATTCATTAAACAGTATAAGGTATGTATAATTTAGATTTACATAGATTATATTTAAACTATTTACATTGTTCAGACTGTTGCCCTCATCTTTGTTGCCATATTCATGACATTTTGGCTGTTGTATGCTACAGCCTTCTTCAAGTGATATACATTGAAATTTTGAATTGAACCCCTTATTTAATCCATGAGAGTAGATTGTTCTAGTTCCACATGCCATGCCTTTTCTGGATATTTCAGTTTCAGTTAATCCCCTTTAGTAACTCAACTCTCCAAGTTTTGTTCCCTCTGTTGTGGCCAGGCATTGAACTCACAACTGTTTGGGTCAAGTCCCTTTTTGGATCACTTACTGGGCCATATTTCCTTGGGGACACATGGCCCAGTGAGTGTATAAAAAGCATTGGTTGAGCGATACAAAAAATGGCTGAAACGTTGTAAATATTTGATGTATAATTAAACTAAAGTAACAGGTATCAAACTAGTGTATAATATTTTTATGAAATTTACCACACCGGTGTGTGTGTGTGGGGGGAAACAACTTGATTTCTAAAGGAAGATTGTAATGCTTCAATACAGTGTGTATTCCATTAAAACACAACCCAGTAAAGTTTCTGACAAGTTCTTTTCTTTAGTTCTACCAGTTCAGACCTTTACAAGTAAGTCCATGGATTTGAGCCACTCTCATTCCCCTCTGTATTCCATTAGTGAGAAGGGTGTTCAACTCAGAAAGCTTCTTCCCAAGAATCGTGACTTTGTAGAACAGACTCCCTTGCTGATACTTCCCATAACACTACAATGTTAACCTCTTCAAGTTTAGGGTCAGTTGTTATCTATCCTGCATATCCTCAAAATCTTCACTTCCTCTTCATATATTTACATCACATACCTCTATCTTGAGTGGCTCTTTAGCCCTGTATTGTGTGAATATTAGTAAAAAGGGAAAAGAAAAGTGGAATTATTTACTTTTTATCTGTTAGCTGTCCTCCACCAAATCAAATGAATAAAGAAAATGTTCAAAAACTATTCCCCTGCCCCCATACACTCACATTTAACCTCTCAGTAGAACTTTGTTGTCCATTTTGAAGATAGGCGGACTCTTTTGTCATCCTGGCGGCTAATAACAGTCATGGGAACTGTCTTTCTCTGGCTACTGACATTAGTTTCCGCTTTAAAATTCCTGGCAAAATTATTGAGTTGAGTTTATATTGTCTACATTTATACTAGTGTATTCATTTATTTTACAGGAACCTGCACTGATTTGTAAAACAAGATTTATTATATCGCTGCCATATAATTTTAGAATGTGGGTGATCATGGCTCTTCACAACTTCACTCTCATTCAATTCTACTTTTATATATACTGTTGGCCTTCAAGACGTGGAGATGTGGACAATCATGGCTCTCCACATCTTCCTTTCTTTTGTTGCTCTAAGTAACTTTTTTAAGTCCTTGTTCTACCATTCATTCAATTTTACTTTTTTATATGTCAGATCCCTTCAAGATGTGGACGATCATGGTTCTCCACAGCTTCCTATCTGTTGTTGCACTAAGTAAATTTTGACCCTTTACCAATTTTGTTTATCTTTGTTTTGCCACTCATTCAATTTTACTTTTTTATATGTCAAGTCCCTTCAAGACGTGAGCGATCTTGGCTCTCCACAGCTTCCTGTCTTTTGTTGCTCTAAGTAAATTTTGACCCTTTACCTTTTCTGTTAGTCTTTGTTCTCAATTCAATTTTTCTTTTTTATACATCTGGTCCCTTCAAGACGTGGCAATCACGGCTCTCCACAGCTTCCTGTCTCTTCTTGTAACTTTTGTCCTTTTACTATCCCTCTTTCTGTCATCTATTCAAGTCAGTAATTTTTGTTTGCCCTTGTTTCACTTGGAGTCAATATGTCCTGTGAGTGCTAAAGTTTCCAAGCCCTCTTTCTTTCATATGTACCCTTGAAATTTCAGCTGTCGCTTTCTGATTGTTTACAGCAGTTTACTTGTAGTTCATACTCTTCTTTAAACCTTCTCACTACACCTTCTGTTCATAGTATTTAAATTATTTAAAATTTTGGAATTCTGAAAAGTGTCTGGTCCCAAATATTGTCAACTCATATCATATGACAAAATGGAGACTCTTAGATGGTAATATAGAGATTTCTAATAATAGGCTTTTATTTTACACTGTCTACTGCATTTTAATGGAAACTTTCAACATTCGGAACCTGAGAAGGAAAAAAACTGCAAAAAATTCTAAGACAATGTAGCAAAGGAAAGTGAGAAGAATTTATGGTCTTCAACAAGAAAGATAATGAAAGATGTAAGCTTCAAATTGGAGACATCACAATGAAGTAGGTAGAGAAATTTAACTATCTAGGTAGTGTAGTAACAGACAACAGAATTGTGACACAGAAATCCAAAATTAAACTGGAATAGCAAAAGATGCCTTCCAGAAATTAAGCAAAATAATAAAACATAGGAAAATTTTGTTAAGAACAAAGAAAAGAATGCTGAACTGCTATGTCATATTTTCCGGTATCACAGTGAATATTAAGTTATTTTCTCACAGATGAAGACAAGACAGAAAATGCCAGTGATGTGGTTTTTCAGACGAATGCTGAGAATATTATGGACAGAACTCGTGAACAGCAAGAAAGTTCTAAAGAAACAGGAATTAGAAAGATACTTATACTTAAAATCAAAAAGAAACAGTTGAAATTTCTGGAACATGTTATGAAGAAAGAATTTTTTGGCAAATTTAGCACACACAGGGTATACTTTAAGAAGATGGAGTGGGAGGAAAGCAACAAGTAACCTGTTGTGATGATATAACCCAACTTCCCCATTCACTATAATGGACGGACTAGTTGCCGATTAAGTACGACCACAGCGGACAGTCGAAAAGTCTTCGTTTGTTAACCCCTATTGAGGTTAGCATACTCCCGACTCTGTCTCTGTACTTGACACATCTACATCCGATTATAAACCTATTATTGAAAACCAACACTCGGGTTACTTTGTTTATTATATCTTGCACGAGATATAACATGACCTAACTAATGCGTTTGGGTGAAAGGAAGACAGGGTGGGGACAAGGACCAATAGTAAAGAATCATAATGTGCAAAGGACAGGAAAATGTGGAGACCCTTAACTGCAACCTCCCTGAAGAAACAGCTTTGTAAAAGAAGTAGTAGTAAGATTTCCTCTGATGAGTTGACAAGCTACATCAATACCACATAAGTGTTTATTGTGCTATTAAAAATAATCACACTTTCTTGATATGTATCATAGTTTAGGACCCAATTCTTTATTTGACAATAGCTGAAAATTATTTTTTATTTAGTTTTTTTTTTTCTTATATTTTACTCCCAGTGGGGGGAGGTGATAAGAATAACAAAAGTAAAAAATAAATAACTTGTTTTTCCTATCCTCCTCCCTACCCCTCTATGCATTCCTTCTCTCTCTCTCTCTCTTGTTGCTTTTGGTTGACTATGATCAAATAGTTATTTACTAAGATTATTTTAGCCTGAAACGGGGTCACAGTCGTGCGTCACCCAGTAATAGCTCACAAGACGAGATTGCTCAAAATCATAGCTTTTCATGTGTGCGGGGTGGGTACAATACATTGGGGTGGTGGGAAATGACGGAGAGAATTGAGTAAAAATATATTGGAGGTTGTTGAAACATCATTTTTTTTTTTAAGAAAAATTAAGTAACTGTATTTTTTTTTTTCATTTTTTAAAATTCTATACTCTATAATCTACTATAATCTCCATTGTTAGTTAGAGCAAAAAGAGAGAGGAAGTTGTAGAGAACCATAGCCTTCTTATGTCCTGAAAGGATATGGCCAAGGTTAAGGATCACTTTGGATATGCCATATTAATGAGGACAATACAAAAATATACTCTTTCTGGTTCTTATATTGTAAATGTTACAATCTGTAGATTTTTTTTTTTTCTGATCAACTTAGGATTTAGTTCAGTAGACCAATAGTTAGGTTGCTTTGTTTTTGACGCAAGTTTTTTTTATGCTTGGGTTTAGTAAATAGGAAAAGGAGTCATTTCAATAGAAGTGAACTTGTAATTTGGTAGAATTTGGGAAGACTGTATTTGGTAAATCTTCCGTTTACATTTAGCATTTTTTTCTTTTTTTCTTTTCTTTTTTCTTTCTTTTCTTTTTCCTTTTCTTTTTTTTCTTTTCTTTTCATTTCTTTTTTCTTTCTTTTCTCTTTTCTTTTTTCCTTTTTCTCTTTTCTTTTTTCCTTTTTCTCTTTTCTTTTTTCCTTTTTCTCTTTTCTTTTTTCCTTTTTCTTTTTTGTTTTTTTTACATTTTCTTTTCATTTCTATTTCTTTTTACTTTCTTTTCTTTTTCTTTTTTCCTTCTTTTTTCCTTTTTCTTTTTCTTTACATTTTCTTTCTTTTCTTTTCATTTCTTTTTCTTTTTTCCTTTTTTCCTTTTTCTTTTATGTTTTTCTTTACATTTTCTTTTTTCTTTTCTTTTTTCTTTTTTCCTTTTTCTTTTTTGTTTTTCTTTCTTTTTCTTTTCTTTTTTCTTTTTTTTTCCTTTTTCTTTTATGTTTTTCTTTACATTTTCTTTTTCTTTTCTTTTTTCCTTTTTCTTTTTTCTTTTTCTTTAAATTTTCTTTCTTTTTCTTTTCTTTTTTCTTTTCTTTTTCTTTTTTTTCTTTTTCTTTTTTTTCTTTTTTTCTTTTTCCTTTTTTTTCCTTTCTTTTCTTTTTAACCTTTTTCTTTTTGTTTTACTTTACATTTTCTTTCTTTTTTCTTTTCTTTCCTTTTTCCTTCTTCTTTATTTTCTTTTTCCCCCTTTTCTTACTTTCTATTTTATTTTCCTTTCTTTTCTACTTTTCTGCTTTTGAGTTGTTTAAGTCATGCTGACATCAGTAGTTAAGTTGTTTAAGGTTTTTAGACAAATGAGTACAATTGCTTGTAAACAAAAATCCTGTATCAGAATTTTTTTAAAGAAATTAAATTACAAAAAGATTAAAACAAACCTTTTTGTAATTTATTTTCAAAGAAGTATTTTTTAATTATTTATTTTTGTAATAAACATTGCAAAACTTTTCAGTAATACATCTAAATTTTGGACAAAAGTTTTTGTCTTTATTTAGGTACCCCAACCCCCACCAAAAAAAAGTAATACCTATGTTTAAAATGAATTCTTTCTTGAAGCTTTAATTTTAGTTTTATTTCCAACCTAATAAATTAAACATTTTCAATAAGTAAAATACTTTGGTATATTTCAAGCCAAATTTAAATTGATTGGAAACTTTTTTCTTTTTTTCCTTATTAGTAAAACTATAAATTTGTCCATATTAAAAGATCTATCAACACAACATAATTCTCTTTATTAAAAAATCTTTCAAAAATATAATATACTTTTCTGGAACATTATTTGAGAAAAATAGTCGATTTAAAGTTAATTAATTTAAATTGAAACAAATATTACTTACTTTGAAATCTTTATTTAACATGGAGTGGGTCTTTTTTGATGTGTTGGAGTAGATTTTTACCAGCCTAATGTTTGAGAAATTTAAGTAAGGGGGCACATAATTGAAATAAATTACTTAACAAATAAAACAGGAACGTTTTTTATATATAATTTTTTTAACTACCGAGTAAACTTAAAAATGTTTTAAACATTCTATAATTTTAGGTACTTTGTCTTTATAATGTTACTTGCAAAGACAATTGTTAAGGAAATGTTAGAAAATTACGAATACATTTTAAATTTACTATAGTTACCGCTCTTATTTTTGATATTTACAAAATACATATATCCATTTTACATTTATAAATGCATTAAAAATATCAAAATTTTTTTAAATACTGGGGGTCATTGAATTGTAGTGAGATTTTTCCATTTATGATTAGTAAATACAGTTTTAATTTTTAAAAAAAGTATCATTTAACTGCTTCAAATTAATGCAGAATTTTAAAAGATTTAAAAGTTTATAAATTATTCTAATTAAAATTCTTTACCCAAAAAGTTTTATGATTTAAATTCTCCAAGGATTTGTCTTTATAACAAATATAAACATTAAGTGATACAAAAAAGAATTTCTCAAAATTTCATAAAATTAAATAAGTATGGGTAACTCATGTAAAAAAAAAAATATTTAGGTGTCTGTACAATGTGGAGTAATGGATAGCAGCTTGGATTGAGGAATTCAAATTCCAGTCAAATCCATTACATTGACTTACATGCTAAAACCCTTGGGAAAGGTATGAATTGTCTTTTTCTCCCCCCAGCTATGGGTAAATAGCAGGACAGACCGGGTTCTATAGCCTTGGATGGCAACTGGCCTACCACAGAAAGAAATGGCAACCTACTGTGGGAAAAAATCTGCCTCATCAGACATGTATCGAAAAATACATGATTGCCTAAGCATGTATCATGCATGGCACATAACTCACTGGCTAACAGTTTGTAACTAGTGTGTTTACTGTGTCTGTCACAGGACCATAACAGTGGCACAACCAATATGGCTCAAACTCATTAGGCAAGTAAATTGTTTGTGAAACTAGCATACTTATCATTGCTAAATATTTATGTTATTGTTGTGACCAAGTATATGATTAAGAAATAACAAAACAAGAGGTTGCAGATAAATCGTGTATTGAACAGTAAATACAACGGAAGTATGTTACACAACTTGGGTTGTGTGTATCGGTTGACTATCATTCAGTCTATATCACTGTTATATTTAACAGCCCCACCCCCCAACGAGGGTTATATGTGGCACAAGGCCGAGTTTAAAGTGGATCATCTGAGCCCATAAGATCGGCCAAAAAATCCCCGTAGAACCCGCACGGGTTTGGGTCTGTCTACCTCCCTGGACAAAACTCTGCCCTTTGACACAGCCTCGTCCGGGTTCCTCTCTGCCCAAAGCAGAGCGTTTGACAGGAGCTGCGAACAGTCAAAGCTCTGGGAGAACAGTCTATGTCACCATTCCCCCAAGGCTTACTTTTCCTACCACTTTATAGTAAGTGGAAGAATCCATAATAGATTCATTAGAGGGAAGACACTACAACAGTTATGCAAATTAGAAGAAATGTCATTTGATATTTTCCAGATTATGTGAGGTTTTTAAAATAATTGTTCAATGTGAGGAACCACTCAAAGTAGAATGGAATAAGGTGTATGATATGAATGAAAGAGGAGGTGGTAGGTAATAAATAATATGAGGATAAGGAGGATAGATAACAATTGACCCTTGACTTGAAAAGCTTAAGATTGTAGGGTTACTGCCAAAATGGTTGTGATGAATGAGGTATGTGATATGAATGAAAAAGGAGGTGGCAGGGGAAGTGAAGATAAGGAGGATAGATAATAATTGGCCTTTAACGTGAAGAGGTTAAGATTGTAATGTAGAGGGTTACTGTCAAAATGGTTATGGTGTATGAGGTGTGTGATATGAATGAAAGAGGAGGTGGCAGAAAATGAAGCATTAAGGCCTTGTGCCAGGCTAAATATACTAAATATCTAGACAAATAAAGGTTAAGGTTATTAAACCAGTTTAACAGACCATTACTAATTTGTAGGAAATTCAGTCCTCAGTGGATGCTCCACAATTAAGGCCTTGTGCCAGACTAAAAATACTAAATACCTGGACAAATAAGGGTTAAGGTTATTAAACCAGTTTAGCAAGTCATTACCACTCTAGAAAATTCAGTCTTCATTGGGTGCTCTACAATGAATACCTTGTGCCAAACTACATTAAGCTGTGTAAATACCAAAGAAGATGTTTTTATAATATAGCTGTATTTTTGATATTGACCCAAGATGGCTGCAATTTTGGTTTGACTAAAGAATTCATCTCCGCCAAATCTATTGTCATGAGACTCTTTAGTTTTGGTGAAATCAGAATCCGCCTAGTGTGTATTACTTATATCCTGTGCTGACTTTTCCATAGAAGAATAGTCTGGGTTGGAAGGAGAGGTAGACTTACTATCAGTCAGCCTACAGGACAAACCTATAACAATTTGGTAAAAGCATTATTATACTTATCTATTGTATACTGTGTTGTAAGGCTAGACATCTTATTAGAAGCTATCAGTAAAAAGTATTGCTTACTCACTGGGAGAGTCAAGTGGAGGGGAAAAAATAACAACTTTTGTGGTGAGATGTAAATTTCTTTCAAGCAATTTGTTTATTAAGAAGTGGTTTTCTTCTTCTTCATCATCATCATCATCATTAGTAGTAGTAGTAGTAGTATAATCCCTCTCCTCCTCCTCCTCTTTTGATGGTTTAGCAAAATGATTTAGGTGACATGGTTTTGGTGCCAAGGTTGTCAGAAAAATTGGGGCACTTCAGTGTGATGCTCAATCCTCACTGGGTGCTCCATACTTTTGGCCTTGTGCCAAGGCTGTCAGAAAATTGGTGATGTACTTGTGTTTTATGAAGCATAACTGAAAAGTTCTCAGCTTTATCAAGAGGTTGTTAAGAGGCTTTTCTTCCGCAAAGTTCTAGCATTTGGTCATTGAATTGGGCAACTCTTTTCAGCAAATTCTTGTGTGTAGTATGTACATATATATATATATATATGTGTGTGTGTGTGTGTATATATATGTATGTGTGTGTATATGTATGTATGTATATATATGTATGTATATATGTGATATATGTGTGTTTATATGTATGTATGTATATATGTGATATATGTGTGTGTATATGTATGTATATATGTATATGTGTATATATGTGTGTGTGTATGTATATATGTATATGTGTGTGTGCATGTATATATATATGTGTGTGTGTATATGTATGTATGGGTGTATATATGTATATGTGTATATATGTGTGTGTGTGCATATATATATGTATATGTGTGTGTATATATATGTATATGTGTGTATGTATATGTGTGTATGTATATATGTATATGTGTGTGTGCATGCATATATGTGTGTGCATATATATGTGTGTATGTGTGTATATATATATATATATATATATATATATATATAAAAATAAAGAGCAAGTAGGAAACATATCTCAATCTAACATGTTTCACTTTTATTAAAGCTTTATCAGGGATTGAAATAGAAATGAAAAAAGCAAAGAGACACAGAGTACTGGTATGTTATGATTTTTGGTTCGTTCTTATTGGTCAGATACATGTCACATGTATAAATGCAATAGATAATATATAAATATGTGTGAGGAACATTTTGTGTATTAAAATGTGTGATAGTGTAAGAGCGTGTATGTAAAGAAACATTTATGGGCCTTAGTTATCGTTTCTGGGAGAGAGAGTGTTATCTAGTACAATGAACAGTCTGAACAAGGCCAGCACATTCAAATCTTCGGTCATGCTGACTTGTGACCTTGTGCTAGCACAACCACTGATGGCTCCCAAGGGCACTTGGCTGAGTGGTTACAACATTTTCTTTCTGACCATAAAACCTGGGTTCGAATCTCACCAGGGTCAATTTGTCAAAAAGATGACTGCTTGATGTTATCCGTCTGAAGGAGGCAATCCCAGCATGTGGTACCTTTGGAAAGTACCTGAAAAACATACCACAGGTTGACCCAAGCCTTGTGAGTGAAATTGGGTAGACAGAACATATATAATTATTTATTTAAAAAAAGTTTATAACATAAATATGCTATAAAATCACTACAAAAATAGCCATTTTGTTTCAACCCCCCGGTGTCTTATCAAGTGATGATGTTGAATGTAAAATAAATGGTTTTAAAAGTTTCAAATTAATTAA